CCCCAAAACCCCAAAACCCCAAAACCCCAAAACCCCTTGGAGAATGAATTTTATTGGATACTTTAGACGAAATAAATTTAATTAATTTATTTTATCATTATTAGATTTAAATGGAGCAAATTAAGGATACAGATCCCGACTTTGCAGATATACAGATGAAGAAGACTCTTTCACAGAAGCTAAATAACAAGACACTTGAAGGAGTTGAGGAGTTTTGGTGCACAGTAGAACATATAGATCTTCCTAAAAGGTAGACTAAACAATCTTTAACCCAATATTTTTAAAAACCAACTCTTTCTAATTGATGTCTAACCTCTCTGATAGTTATTGGGAATACTACATGGCATGTGCTGAAGATTGGAACAAGTAAGTATCTGCTCCTAACTCTCCTAGCATTGAAGGGCTACCTGAGGGGAGAAAGAACAAGACATACTTAGATTATCTCTTCAATTACCTAAAACTCCAGACAATGTAAGCATCTGCTAAGCCAGGGTAACACCTGTTATAGATACACAGAGGAGCTTGAAGATATAGGAGTGACCAAAAAAGGTAACACAACCAAATTATGCCAAAGAACGATAAAGATAGCCTGAGATAACAACACCTAGTAAGCTCCTCTTCTGATAGGCGAATCTTTGTGTCCAAACACAGAAGTATACCTTAACCCTTAAACATATCTTCTGAATTTAAGCTTCTATAAAACAATACTTTAGCATACATGTTGGTCTAAATTGGCAATTTATTTGTAAGGTTTTTGAGGAGTAAAGAGGCAGGAAAGTTGTCTGAATTATGCTGGAAACTTTGTTAAGTAGGCTTATGAAGGTAGTAGGGTGAGTTTTAGGCGGCCTGTGTTTTAGGGGTGGTTAGGATACATTTTTGGGTCGTACTTGGTGTATAGCTTTAGATGACGCTTTGAGATGGTATTTTTGGCCTTCTTGGGTGAATTATTTTGGTAAAATGTTCGAAAAATATTGCAGAGTTTTAGTAGCCAAGTAGCATATTATCAATTGTTAGATATTAAATGATGAACAAATGAAACTTAAATTAACACATTAGAGATGATCATAGTCAATTTAGGATAGAATAAATCTAAGAATTTAAGGACCAAATTTTCAAGTCCTAAATCATTGGTCCAATCTACCCACTCACATTCAGCCCCCTTCCTACATATAAAAAGAGCTTCTCTATCTTCTAAGTCCATTACATTGAGCCTAGTTTCTTTCCAGCACCTAAATTCCTACTTTATGTATAATTCCTCTAACACCAGTGAATCCTTAAAATCTTGATCACTTAGTACACTTCATGCTGACCCTTTCCTTTAACAAAAGACCAAAACCTTAGAATACAGATTTGAGTGGGTCTAAAGGCTGAGTGGACGAATAGCTGGAGAATTAAGTCACCAAATGTGGTTTGGGATTAACATACGTATACAGCTGCGATTCATTGTGATATTAACATACATTTGGATCAAACCATAACTATTTTCGCACTTGACTACATGCCTTACCTTGTTTAGTTACATCTAGACTTGTCTAACTCTTTATCATAGCCCTGGTGGAAAAATAACCAGATCGATGCTTGAGTTTTATGAGAAGAATTCGCTCTACAAGTTCATTACCTGAACCTGGATGATAGTATTTGATCCTGAGTTATGGACTGATCTTGCTAAGCTAGGTTTAGAGAAGGCCTTCTTCTTGGTCTTCTATGAGAATTTAATGACAGGTAAATTTGTGAAGAGATCTGAGTACTGTTGACAAGAGAGATATGGCAATCTATGGTTCAGTATTGAGGCCAGGTGAGTGGGGAAGTGAAGAAGAGATTGGACTACATATTCTGAGCATTTCTGGGGGGGGGGGAAAAACTCCACTGGAAGTTGAATTTTGAAGATTTGTTTTGGGTGGATTCAGTTCATTTTTCAAATTTTAGCTTTGATGTTTTATTAACCAAAAGTTAGCTAAATCATTTGTTTACCTTACTTTAAAGAAGACTTTAGAAATGTTAAAAAATATGAGGGAATTGAGATCTTGGGGTTGATGATATGTCTCTGAAGATTCTTTTGACTTTTACTTCTTGAGATTTAAGACAAATCTAAGTTAGAATATCTTGAAAATCAACACCTAGAGACTTATCAGAACCATGTGGGCAAACTACTAATCCCAATATTTGAGATTCTACTGAATTTTCACTGTTTTGACTTTACCTCGACAAGGATAAATATATCTTCTGAGTGTTTGGTGGTCCTTACTTGGCTAATTAAGTGGAATTATTGCGTAGAAAGACCCTATTTTTGGGCAGCATGACTCTGACCAACTGGAACAAGAATTCTAACCTATATTGCATGCTTTGGCTCTTATTTAGGGTCACTTGTAATAAGCAAAGCTAGAAAAGTATCCCAGATTATACAGGAGTTAGTTATAATTAAGAAAGTATAGGGCTGGGTACCTTTCTATACACGAAGTAAAATTTACTTTCTGTATTAATTTCATAAATTCTAGTGTAGATGAATATGAAATTAATGATTTAGCACTTTTAACATCGTAAAATTAAATTTATACCTTTGAGACTGCATTGTCTAAGACATTTATAGTTCAAATTCCAAAGTCGATAAGTTGTATGCCAAGGAAAAATTCGAAGGTCTCAGATTAGCAGCTTCAGTCAATTGCGAAAGAGTCCCAGTGATAAAGGATGGCAATGTAAGAATCAATTTCTGAGGTTTTAAAGCTAAAATTTAAAAATTAATACCCCCATTTGGCTTTTTTAACTTAGATTTTAGCCTTTCTGGATATTTCTAGTATATGGCACTTTTTCAGAAGCATATTTACGTTCTAATCACGAAATATAGAAGAAGAAAACATATATTTACAGACAGATTTTGAAGGTGTACAAAGTAAGTCACATTCTCTCTGGTTTTATCCTGATATTCTTTAGCATTAAATATTTTAATATGATTTTGAAAAATAATTTATTATTTTCTAATTTGTTTGTGATCATAATACAGGCGATATCAAAGAAATTATACGGTGCAGGAAGTTTCCCATTCGAAGAATATTTTGAGCCATTCAAAGATGCCCTAAAATATCATCACAATAAGGGTGTCCCATTCTGGGATTCAAATATAACATCTAAATTCTTTGTACGGACAAAATAATGGAATGTATCCTACTATGGATCCGAAGTATTCTGGAAGTAAGTTGTCTTCTGATATCTTTAGAGCACAATCCTGTAAGTCAACCCCATCAAAGAATTATCAGACAGTTCTTTTTCATCTTTTGCTATTACTTCAATTTAGAAGCAAATAAGCTTACTTTGAGAGCAAGCTTAGAAACCTTTTCATCTTCTAAACCTAATTTAGGTCAAAATCACAACTCTCGAAGAACTTTATGTTGAAGAATGTAAGTTTAAAGAGTCACTGTACAGCGAGGATTCCCAGAGGAAGATCAGATAAATACGATGAAGTCATTTCTCAAAGTATTAGAGACAGTGTTATACAATTCCTTCAAGAACTCGAGCAATTCGGCATAAAGTTCTCTAAAAATCAGAGGTCCATCCTGACCTCTGACACAAACACTCTTGTTCTAGGAAGGTCTGGTACTGGTAAAACTACAGTTTCGGCCTTTAAGATCATAGCGCTCGATCTGATCACGATGGTATTTAATAAGTACAAGCTGAATAATAACAATATTACCAAGCTTAACGCTAAAGATTTAGAGGATTTTACCAGATGCAGAACTGTGTTTTGCACTGCTTCACCTGTACTCACTAATGAAGTTAAAAGGTAGGCCCTATAAAATTATTCAACATCCTGACTAAATTTATGAATCTCAATATCTTCTAGATTCTACAAAGATTTGATCTCGTGAATCAAGAAAGTACTGAACAAGAAAGAAGCTAGTAAAGCAAAGAGTTCTGGAGTAATTGAAGAAAGGTATTAACAAAGTCCTAATAATGTAGTACTTCTGATAATGATAAGAAATTGAGAGACGGAATCATCGAGACTCTACAAAGAGCAAAGCAAGATGTCATAGAAGACCTTGAAATGGAGAAGCAGATGGTCAGATATGGCAGCCTCAATAAAGTTCCTAAACAGAACTTTCCTTTGTTCCTTACCGTTAAGAAGCTAGTCTACATGCTTGACGGAGGATGCAGAACATCTTTCTTCTCAAGAGACAAAGATTCCAACATTATTGGAATGGACTCTTCGAATGAATGGCACAATGAAAATAAAGAAGGAGCTCTAATGATCAATCAGTATCAAAAGGAGTCCTTTGATTTTGACAACACTATCAAGGAAGTAGGCAAAGAAATGATTCAAGCTGAAGATATGGATGATGAACAGAAAATCAAATTCCTTCAGAGCCAAGGAATCGATATTAAAGATGAAGAAATTGACGCCTTTATGGCTATGAAAGAGCCTAGTTTTAAGAAGAGAAAGTCTAAAAATATGACTTCTGAAGAATATCTCAAACAAAAGAATCAAGAGAAGGGTACTAAGAAATCTAAATTAAGTATTAACCAGCAAATGTTCTCAAGAGAAGTTGACTTCGAAATGTTTGAGTCTAGGTTCTACAACAAACACAAGGGATCTCTCAAATTGTCTGCTCTTAAGGTATGGACTGAGATTTACTCTGTTATCAAAGGCGGTCTTAACTCATTAATGTCTATTAAATACTACCAAGCTGATATTCTTGAGTATCGGGAATACTGAGAGATCAAAAGCACAATAGATAACTTCGAGTCACCAGAAGAGAAATACAAACTTTACCTAATCTATCTACAATATGAAAAATGGAAGGCACGCAATAATTTGTATGATTTCATGGATGTTGTGAGACATATCTTTTATAATTCGAACTTGAATCTTAATCAAAAAATTAAATACTTAGTAATTGATGAAGTTCAGGACCTCGCTCCTCTCACAATCCAATTATTGTTATTGACTACTTCTGAAAATATTTTCTTCTGAGGTGATACAGCCCAGACTATCGCAAAAGGAGTAGCTTTTAGATTTCATGATTTAAAGCCTGTCTTCATTAACCAGAGAAAAGCATCTAATTTCTACCAAAGACTTGTCAGTAGCGAGGAAGAGAAAATGCTCAAAGCAATGAAATTAGAAAAATATTCACAGACTCCGAAATTAACCAAAGAAGAAAAAGCCAAGATAGAGCAAAAAGCACTGAAGGCATATGAGCCTAGAGTTGTTCAGTTGACTAAGAACTACAGGTCTCATAATAAGATCCTTCAGCTTGCCAACTCAGTTATTGATATTGTTGAGCTCTACTTTCCTCAAACCATTGATAAACTTCAGCGTGAGAGGAGTGAGTTTGACGGTCCTAAGCCTATCATTCTTGAAGGATTTGACCATGATGACCTTGAGAAGCTGATGATGGCATCTAGCCAATCTAGCAATCCTTCGTTTGGATGAAACCAAGTAGTAATCGTCAAGAGCCAAGATATGAAAAGCAAGCTCCCTTTCTTCATGAAGAAGGCACTCTGCTTGACTGTTTATGAAGCCAAGGGACTTGAGTTTGATGATGTCATTCTGTACGACTTCTTTTCTGAGTCCCAGTGTAAAGGTCCATGGAGGATCATTGGAGATATTGAATGTTCAAAAGGTAATTTGGTTGTTCATTTGTATAGAAACCGTTCAGAAAGTAAAAATTCAAGAAAACCTAACCATCAATGAGCTAGACTCCAAAGAGTACAACAAGCTCATTACTAGGCTTAAAAATGAAGAGTCCAAAGACGACTCTATTGAGTATGAGGAAATCTCAGTGCTGAAGTCAGACAAGAAGCTCAAAGAAATGGATAGGAAGTATGGAATTCTGAATGTTGAGTTGAAGTATCTTTATGTGTCCATCACAAGACCCAAAACTAACTTGATTATTTATGACTCAGACCCTACCAATAGAGCTCCCATGACCCACTATTGGGACTCTCAAGGCCTCATTGATATTGTCAAAAAGGGTCAGGAGAAAGACCACCCTGTTCTCAGTAAAGCATTTGAGATAACTGAAGATGAAGAAGTTATCAAAGAAAAGTGGAGAGCTCTCGGAATCAAACTTCTTAAAAAGAAGTATTACGATTCAGCCAAGAAATGCTTCTCTGAGTCTGGAGACAAAGACTTAGAGATCAGATCTCAAGCTTACTGGGATGCCGACGAGGCCAACAACTTGCTAAGTGAGTCTGAGACTCTGCTATTCCAGGCTAAGAATGATAAACTACTCACAAAGTTTAAAAAGAGAACCATGAAGAAGCAAGGTAAAGATTACAAGAAAGAAGCCTTGAAAAGATTCAGATCGGCTGCCTATCATTTCGAGCAGATCAAATCATACAGAAGTGCAGCACAATGCTACTATACATGTAAAGATTATGAAAAAGCAGCTGAGTTATTCGAGATTAACGACCAACCATTACAATGAGCTGAGTGCCTTAGAACCATAGGGCAACTGGAGAAAGCGGCCAAAATTTATGAGGAGCACGGAGTGTATCTGAGAGCATTTGAGTGTTACGAAGAACTTGACTGGGAGTCACTGATTCTATGTCTCAGCAGAAACAAAGACAAATTTAATACTTCTGAAAGAGACAACCTCATTAATATGTATCTTCCCAAGGCTTTGAGTGGAATATACCAACAGCTAACTGAGAATACAGAAGGTAATGAACACAGGACTAAAAATATTGAACAAAAGTATAAGAATGCAAATGCAATTGCTGAAGAGTCAGACTTTTCAAGTGATGAAGAAGGTTATCAGGATCAAAATGAAGAAGAAATCAAAGATAAACAACAAGATGATGATAAACAACAAACAGTAGATGAGCATTCCAATGATGATGAAGAAATCATTGACACATCAACGTACACAAAACAAGAAGAACGAGAAAATAGCTTGAAAATTGACAACAAAGAAGAATCAAAGCATGACACATCAGGAATCTCTGACTTTACTCTTTGTAAGACCCCTTTCTCATGTTATAGTGTCGAAAGCAGAATTAGCTCACAACTTTGATCACCTGTCGAACTTCGACCCAGAAGATGATTTTTTGAAGTCAGAGAACTCCTATAGCATTATCGGCTCTGTGCTCTGTAAAGATGAAGAAACTCTTTCTGAATATAGCGATGTGTCTATCATTTCTGGATCAAGAGTAAACCTAATTAGAGGTGGAAATGTTATTCAGTCATCCATTGATTACTTTGCCCACGATAAAGTAATCCAGAAGATTGTGTTTTATCTGAGTCTGTTCAGCGATGACCTGAAGAAATGTCTCGACCAACAAAGGTCGAAATCAGAAAGAGTCACCATCGATGAGAATGAGGATGGTCTTGACTTCTTTGAACTTGAACTGGATAATCTTAACGAAGAATTAGTATCTACAACTCTTGATATGCTGGAGCATTTCGATTTGTTCAGACTTTGTCTTGTTCTTTGTAACAAGTACAATCTCAAAAATCATATCTCAAGATACCTAACATCTACATGTTACAAGTATTCAAATCTGAAATTGCTGGGTATGAGCAAAATATTATCGATCAACTCCAAAGCATTCAGAAATTCTCAGAAGCAAGTGTCAGTGCTTGCAAATGAAGCCATTCATAATATCCTCAAGATCATTGATCCATCTACTATTCTGCAACAATGTACCGAGGACTTGACAAAAGAGTCTACTTTACTGGGAGGAGAAAGCTGGAGATACATTTACTATCTCGGGTTCTGGAAAAAACTCATTTACCTCATGGACACTCACAACGCTCTCAAGCTAGGATACTCAGCCAGGGCGTTCCAAGACTTCAAGACAGTCTATCTAATCAATTACTGGGCCGAGCTTACAGACGAGCAGATCAAGAGCAAGATCGATGGCTCTGATCCTATGTGGATCAAAGAAGACAACACAGCACTAATTGAGTACTTGTGCAGAAAAGTTGCGCTTGAGGAAAGCACTCACAGTCTCAATAATGACAATCTTCATCCAGAAATCCTTTGTAATCGTAATCTAAATCTGAGCCTTAAGTCGCTATCAGAAGGAAACAAATCAGAGGCAATCACTTTCATGATTGATGCACTCAGATCCTCTCAAAAGAAATTCTCGCAGTTATTGAGAAGCAGAGATAAAATTGGATCATGTCTTAATGAGACCGACAGATACTCTCCAGAGTATTATGACAATAAGCAGCTTTTTATTGGAAGACTTCTGCCTTTATTTGATATATTCATGCTGTATGGAAGAATATTTTCTGACCAAGAAGTCAGAAACATTTTAAAAGAGACTTTCAATGACAATCCTGACATTTTCTTTACATGCATCAAAATGTCAAAATTCTGCATTGGCTTAGTTGATAATCTTACGAACGTGATTTCAAGTTTCAGCCCATTAGAGATAACAGCTATTCTGCAGGGACTCTTAGCACCCTTGAATGTTAGGATTCCTGAAGCCTCAGACTTGATGCTAAACTCTAATATAGTTTGCCACATGAACAGGAAATCTCAATTTCACAGACAACTTGAGAAATATATCTCAATGGTTAAGAACGATAGAAATAGCAAAGACTATTATGTAAAAGTTGAAGAAATAGTTGACAATAATAGTAAGTCGCCTCTTTTTAATCTTTAGGTTCCATAGAGTTGATCAAAACCTCTGTAGTTGACAGAATCGCTGCAAATAAGACTAATTTAGTCACTAAATCTCATGATTACTTGAGGTTAACAGTTGCTGATATTGAAGCAGAGTACATATCATGTCCTCTCTACGTCATCCTGTTCTGGTACAAGAAACTGTTTGTATCATTTGTGTCCCAAACAGTTGTGCAAGAATCCCTCATGGAGTTTCCATCCTATAACTTCAATGAAATGTTCAGCAATGAGAACTATAATGAGGATATGCTTCCTCAGACAGTCAAAGATGTGTACAAGTTATCACTAGAAGTTTGAGCTGGACTTCTGAACATCCAATACACTCACAATCTAGGATGTGTGACTAGATCTAAGATTTATGAAGAACAATTCCAAAGAGAGCTGTACCCTCAGCAATGGATCAGCAAGTTTATAAACAAACTCAAATATAATGTGGACAGGATGAATAGAATAGCTAAAATCAACGGTGTTATATTCAGAGGTTATGCTCCTTTGAAGCATGGAGAATACTATGTGATTAAAACAATTGATGGCAAAACGCTATCTGAAAATAATCCAAAGCAACAACAGTCTGAATTAGAGACTTTGTATAAGAAATCTTTCGTGAATCTTACATTGTTCGAGTCTCTTCATAAGTAAGACTTTAAACTGATTATAGTCTCCCTACCGACCGATACTCTGGCAAAGCATTCGGAATCGAAGAGCATGACTTCCTACTTCAAAGGTAACTTTTTTTAATAATATTTTAGAGCTTTCGACTTGTTAGATCAATTCCTGAACATTGATATTGTCGAAGAAGATGGGTTTGACACCAATCAAGAGTACAAGTTCAGAACCCTCATCACCATGGTAAGTCTAAAAGGACATATACTCTAGTGTATTCCAATATTGCTCTAATCATTCAATGTAGGTTGATATCTTAAGCAAAAGTCAGAGATTTGACATTTTAAAGAAATACTCAAAACTAAAATGTAACAGATACTTTTACTCCTAGGCTTGAGAGACACGTTCAAAAATGACCCTTTCAAGATGGATCTCATTGACAGAGTTCAGGGACTCATTAAAGCAATCGAGTTGTATCAGTGCGACCAGTGGGAGAAGTCAATCCAAGAGTATATGGAGTTCATGAACCACAATACTAAAGTAGGCATAGCCTTAACTTTTAGATTCTTAAAGAAGTCCAATGGCTCAGAATGTTTGAGAAAACATGGTATTTAGCCATAGTAACATTCTGGGCTGACCAAGGCAGCATCTATTTACCTGTAAATGCATTGAATTACTTGCACGAAGATGTTGAAGTCATTGAAAACGAGCAAGAGCATGAAGAGAGATATTTGAAGAGTACTCTTTGCTTTTATCTATATAGTTCTCAACTACGAAAAGTGGATTAATCTTCCTCAAAGCCAAAATAAGGACCCATTGGGATTCTTTATTGCAATGCTAAAGAATTTTGAAACAATGGCAAATAGGTTCTTTGAAAATACATCAATTCATTACCAGAAGATTATGATTGCAATGTTTAACATGTTTGGAACCCTAATAATTAACTGAGACAAAGTATCAACAAGTCTGTGAGATGCAATTGGGTTCTATCAGGACATCATTAACGTAAGTATTTTCTCAACACAATAAATTTGCCAAAGAGATGCATTAATGATTAATATAGGAAGGAATCATTGACCAAAATAACTCCAGCAAATTCGAAGAGTACTTTCATGACATTGAAAGCTGTCAACAGTTCAAAGCAGATTTCTCAGAAATTGTTGATTATGAGAAAAATGACACTTTGTATCATGAAGGAACCAAAGATAATAATCAATATTTGGTGATGCTTACAATCAGAGAAGAAGAAAATAAAACAGAAAATAGTATAGATCTTAAGTATAGCCAATATCTTCATGAAGATGCTCAGAGAATCTTATCTACAAGAACTCTAATCAAGAAGTTGAAGCTACCCATCAAGAATTTTAACCTTAGTTTGAAGAGCACATCTCACATCAAAAGGAGCGATTGTGTTAGTCCAACGACTTTCAATTGGATGTTATTGGCAGGCAATGTTTCTGCCCATGAAGACCTTAAAGCTATACATGGTAGCTTTGCCATTGAATATCTTATTGACAAATTCTACAACCTGCAGAACCAGTTGTTCAACATCCTTCATAACCACTATACAATCAGAAACTCATTGGACACCCATTTTGTGGTTACCAAACTTGACGAGATCGAGAAGATTCTAGTCGAGGCCAGGCTAGAACTATCCTACAGATCAGCCGAAAATTCAAAGGTAATAATCCCAATTCTCCCATAACCCCTTTAGCTTGACGAGAGCTCCTCTAGCTCATTCAATCCCTTCATCGAAATCGGGTCCAACACCGAAGAACTAAAATTCGTCTCTCCAGACTCCCCCTCCCACCTCTCCAAGCCCACTCTCTCCCAAATAATCTCAACTCTCAACTCTAAATACACCTCCCTCAGCACCTCCCTCACTCAATGGCTGCAGTCCCTCCCTCCCCCCACTCTCCAGTCAATCACCACCCAGCACACTACCCTCACCAACAAACTTCGCTGGGAAAGCCTGATCTCCTCCCGCACAAATCTCCAAAGACTCCAAGCCATTTACAAAAAAATCAGGAACAAATCTTAACCAGTTCAAGTACAGAGACCTGTCCAGGGGTTTTGGGGTTTTGGGGTTTTGGGG